AACTTCGACATGAGCTTTCTCCCGACGTACTAAAGGCCTTGTGGGAGAAACTCCCTCGGCTAGAAAGTATAGTCCACAAGTCGTGGGTTGTCCGGCGCAATTACCAGATCCTGCGTGCATATAGTACGTTGAGCCCTTTATTCACTACACGCTTTTGTGCCTAGAAATGTAGAGGGGCCGTACTCGTTCTGTTGAGATTGTCTTATATCGGATCTGGTATAAGATTGAAGACCCACCCCCACCCTTCCACCTACATCAAACATGTATTTTGGTTTTTTCTGACATCTTAACAGTACTGTTCACCTGGGTCCTGGAAAGCGTTCCAAACTCCGTTAGGAGATTATCTATCTTTAAGGACTTCAACAACCAACTTGAATTGGCAGTTGATAACGCCACGCCACATTTGAACCAACGTGTGGAAACTCCCTCAGCTACAAAACTCTACCTTGCCAGAGCGTTTGCCGCCAAAAGCCAACATCTAGAGCGCCTTTCTATTTCATACATGATCGACGCCCAGCAGTTCTTCACTTCATGCCAGCAGCTGCCATGTACCTGGAATCTCCTGCAGTCGTTGACACTCACGTCATCCACACTGGCCCGGACAGCTCCTCGCCAAGATATTTAAACACTGTTGCAAAACGCTAGTTCGGTTGCGCTCAAGATGCCGCAGCTCCAAACCATGGTGCTCTGGAACAGTGAACCAGGACAAGCCTGTGCGGTAATTTATCAGCGACATACTGCAAGCGCAATAGCGACACTTACATGGCGTGGTACATGGGATCTTGAGCTCAGCGATGATGTTGTTGAGTCTTGGAAGGAGGTTGCATCTGATTCCTGCTACCTGCGGTTGGAAAAGGAAGCATTACATGACGTGGATATCAGGTCCCATGGTGATGCAATTCATCATCTGCGCTTGCCGGATGGAGTTGTTGATTCGGAATCATTGTGTCAAATACGCTACGAGGGAAGGATGCAAAGAATGGCTTGATCAATGCTTTTGTACAGATTCTTATCGTCCTGGTAAAAAGAGAAGAAGAAAGACAGTGGAGAGAAAGAAGAGAAAAAGTGGGTGAAGTAAAGCGTAGCAGTAGAAGTCAAGCGTACTTAGGTAGCGTTTACGTTGACCAGGAAGACATAGGCTTCTTCTACAGTAACCTCAGATCTGTGTCGGCTAAATGGTCTTCGATACAAGACGCTCAAGGAATTGCTCTCAGAAGAATGATCGTGATGCCAAATTCTCGTACTGGATGTGTCGCGTCATTCTACACACTGGAATCCACGTACAAAGATGGTTCCAAGGTTGATTCCTGACTAGAGAGAGAATGGAGTGTCAGATTCGCACACTACGTGCTAACTCGACTTTCCTGCTTGAGTGAGCAGGGCCAGAATGGCTCCCTATCTACAAAGCAATTGACGTGCTTCTGCGAATATACCGAAGAGTTCACCAAGATTATGCAGTGGTGGTCTAGCGTCGTGTTGTACTACAAGTGTCCCTCAGGCGCGGTCGGTTATTCAGACCCGCCCCTGTCATTCACGAGTCAACCTCGGCATCTCCACGCGCCAAACTTCCACGGGTGTTGCGGATGCGGGGACAACCGTCGCGCTATATACATCACCATGGAGCGCGTCTCGCTATTCTCCACTATCCCCGTTCTTTCAGAACCACCATAGTACGATTGTGCTGCTACGTTTCCATCGCACCTACTCCACCGCTAAAGCTCCTTCGCATCCCAACCTTCACAACTCACAACCGCCATCATGGTCGGCAAGAAACAGCCCGTCTACGTCCTCGGCGTGGGCATGACCAAGTTCATCAAGCCTCGTGGCAAGGTGGACTACCCTGAGCTCGGTTTCGAGGCAGGCGTCAAGGCCATGCTCGACGCGCACATCAACTACGACGATGTCGACCAAGGCGTCGCATGCTACTGCTATGGCGACTCAACTTGCGGTCAGCGCGTCTTTTACCAGTTCGGCATGACTGGCATTCCCGTATACAACGTCAACAATAACTGCTCGACTGGCTCGACTGGACTCTACATGGGACGCAACATGATCGCGCACGGAGCGGCCGACTGCGTCTTGGTCGTTGGCTTTGAGAAGATGTTCCCCGGAAGTCTACAGAGCTTCTTCCAAGATCGCGCAAACCCGACAGGCACGACGAGCCTGATGATGAAGGAGACGAGGGGTATCACCAAGGCACCGGGTGCCGCGCAAATGTTCGGAAACGCTGGACGGGAACACATGGAGAAGTGAGTCCCGATGTCTGGATCAACCCATGTTTCTACCATACTGACCATCTTCGTAGATACGGCTCCGAACTCAAGGACTTCGCAGAGATCGGTCGCATCAACCACGCCCACTCGAAGAACAACCCCTACTCGCAATTCCAAGACGAATACACCCTCGAGCAAGTCATGAACGCACCCATGATCCACGAACCCCTCACAAAGCTTCAATGCTGCCCGACCTCCGACGGAGCTGCTGCAACAGTCCTGGTCTCGCAAGAGTTCCTAGACAAGCGCCCTGAGCTCAAAGACCAGGCCATCCTGATCGCCGGACAAAGACTAGCAACTGACACACCATCACTGTTCAACCGCAGCGCCATTGAGCTAGTAGGATACAGCATGAGTGAGCTAGCTGCTCGCGAGGCGCTCGAAGAGGCCAACGTATCACCAGACGACGTCAAGGTGTGCGAACTCCACGACTGTTTCTCCGCCAACGAGATGGTCACTATTGAAGCCCTTGGTCTGGCCCCCAAGGGCAAGGCTCACGAACTTATCCGCAAGGGTGGCATCACCTACGGCGGAAAGGTCGTCATCAACCCCTCAGGCGGTCTGATCTCCAAGGGCCATCCGCTCGGTGCCACAGGTCTCGCTCAATGCGCTGAGCTCGTTTGGCACATGCGTGGTTGGGCCAACAACCGATCAATCAAGGATACAAAGGTTGCCCTGCAACACAACTTGGGTCTTGGAGGCGCCGTAGTATGCACAGTGTACAAGAGGCACGACGGAAGCGCCGCGACGGACAAGTCAGACGAGCAGATTGCTAAGATCACTGGCCTGGGATACAACCCAGCGACGGTTGCGAAGGGATTCACAAAGGAACAGGTTGATGCTGTGAGGAGCAAGAAGGCGAGGAGCCAATGGGCACTGCAAGACACAGAGCAAAAGGTTGAGGCTAGGTTTTAGATGAGTTTCGCTGTAACTACTATGGTCTTTGAATAGCGCTGTTGACTACATATATCCATCGTACCTACTTCACTCCAGCTCTCTCCATGCTCATTCGACCGTTGACCGTACTCTCACGGGTCAGTACACAAATCGGAAAGGAGACGTACTTACCTAGTCCCATTCTTCCATCTTCCTTCTTCTTCCCACACCCACCAAGCAAGCATCCACCCACCAGCAAACAGTAGGAGATTTCGTTCCACTTACCTGCCAGCAGATGCAAGATGTCTGATCTCGCAGCGCCCAGCGCAAGGAGATTAATCCAACGGTATAAATATGTTAAGAAGAAAGAGTTAAAAGAAAGAACCCCCCAGAGTCCCGTTCTGACTCAATCCAAGCTAGAGATGATGGAAGAATGTAGACATCAACGCACACCGCAGTTTCTGCTCATGTTTAGCAACCTGAACTCGAGGGACTGTTGAGAACGGTTCAGCCGCTCTGCCCACAGGGATTAAGAGGGAAAGCGAAGGTCGAGTGGGTGGCGGAGGGGAGGTATGCGCCGGTTAAGGAGCGTGGTGATTTGGAGATGGATGACTGGACAACTTGGTCCGGTCCGCTGTCACTGAGTGGTAGAAGACACCCGATGTCGATCTTGTCTTCAGTGCCGATGGTATCTTTTTGAGGTTTTGTAGTTATGGCGAGACCGTGAGCTCAGTTGCGCTTTGTCATGGAGTGAGAAGAGGTCTTGGAGGGGAATGAATGGCGAGAATGGCAGCCGTGTGGAAGCCGTCTGTAAACCGGACTGGGATCTATGAAAATGTTAGTAATGACGGACAGTGTAGCACAGATGCATTTGGTGGATGAGGGTCATAGTGGTTGCTTGGCGGTGTTGAAGTGTTGAGTGTGGGACTGAGAGTGGGATGGAGAGGGAAGGTTATATACCGTCTACGAATGTTTGCTGAAACAACGGAATATCAGATTCGCGTGGATGTGACCACTGATTGCTGCTCGATCGACTCATGACGAAAGACAACAAAGAGACCATAGCAATCCGCTTGTCTTCCGCGCCAGACAGCCTTCTAGATGTAAGTACACTTGCACGTCGTAGCATCAAGACATCTCCTCACACGAACTGAAATGGAAGGGAGTGACAAGCAGTTCCTGTCTGAACTTGTGATCATGATCTGGTATTTCGAGTTATGTTCGAACCTCGTTTCGCCATATGCAAAAAGACGCCTGATTTTGATGCCCAAAAGCGGCAATTGCCCTGCATAGTATGCAAGACAACATTACAGAGTAAGACCGTAGAGTAGAGTAGTATGCAACTTCTTCCAGGCTTGCTTCGTTAGCACCCGATAGTGCCATGCCCAATCTGTGCTCAAAACTCAGGATCCTCCATGATGATACCAAAGCTACGACGGCGACTGATCAGAACAGTATCATCGGAATCCCTCTTATATTGGGGAGACCAGCGATCTCTCCTTGTCTCGCGTCCGTCGCGCTCATTAGTGGAAGCATTCTAGGCACCGCTCGCCACACCACGTATGTTGATACCTCCACCTCCTCCACCACGCCGATCAGCAGATCCACGGATGTTGATTCCTTCCTGGCTGCGTGCCCGTCCTTGGCCACGAATGCTGATATCGTCATCGCGTGTGATGCGATCAGCGAGACCTCGTCGGGGCTGTGACGGCTCAGAGAAGTCGGTGACATAGGGATCGCGATCGTCCCCCTTGAGGCGACCAAACGACTCAGCAGGATCGTCGTCATCGCGTGTGATTCTATCGGCTAGCGACCGCTTCTGTTGCGGGAGTACGGGCTGTCCGTTCTTGGTCATGCGAGAAAGTAGCGAATCCCCTCCTCGTGACTTGTTTGATCCGTATGTCGCGTCGATGGCGTTTGACCGGTGGTGGTTATGGCCCATTGGCGAAGTGTCAAGGAAAGAGTCCTTCTGCCAACGTCCACCACTCGCAGGGCCGCCGCGATCATAGTTTGCACGGTCGTGTGTCCAGCGATCCATGCTGGGTTCACGGCGACGTCGAGTGTTGTTGCGGCTGCGACTCCGGCTGCGGTACCGACGGCGGCCCGCGTGGGTCTCGTTCTCTGCGAATCCGAAGCGACCGTCGCCTTCTTCGTCGGAGGCAGGGGAGGCGCTGCGTCCTCGTAGACGGCCGAAGCGTGGCTCTTGTGGACTGGGTCTGTTAGCTTGTTGACAGGGTCACGGGGCAATGCGCTGAAGTACCTTCTTGAGCCGGGTCGGTAGGAATCAACGTCGTCATTCCTGAGTCTACCATCAGCGGGCTGACGACCTCCTCTGCCACCGCGACCTCGGACTTCTCGTCCATCACGGCCATCACGGTTGTCTCGTCCGTTCCGGCGCGGGCCCCTTCGGTCAGCGCCTGAGTCGCCCATGGACTGGTCTCGGCTGTACCCCCGTCTTGATCGGTCCCTGGAGCCCATTTCCTCGTCGCCATAATCGAGATAGTCTTTCTGCGGTTTTTGGTTCCGTCGCGGCTCCCTCTGGTGGTTGCCAGCCACGTCTGGGTTGCGCTGGTAGTAGTTGCTCTTGGTTGCTGCGCCCTTCGGCTTCTGGTCGCCAGCGTTGGACTGCCTGATGACGAGGCGACTGTTGGGCTTCTTTGAGTATGGTTGCGCTGTGCGGGGCTCTTGTAGTGAGAGGTTGCTGGTGTCGCCCACGTCGGAGTGTGTGAGGATGCCTAGGGCGACGGTCGCGTCTTCCTTATTGTAGAATTCGAGGTTGACCGAGTTGTCGTTTACCCAGCGTAGTTGCTTAACGCGCGGGTCTGACTGGCAATGCTCCATTGCCCAGTAGAGGGGGTCGTTGGGGTCAAAGTCGCTCACGCCCTGGAGGTTGAGCGATTCGGGCCATGCTTCGTGGACAATGATGTCTTCAAGGTAGGCGGCGGGTATGTTTTGTTCTTGCTCGGCCGGCTCCTGCGATGGCGCGCATGTCAGTCAATTGCGCCTTCTCGTGCAGCCTGGCGCAATGCTCACCTGGACAACCTGCTGTGGTTGCGACGGCTGTGCTACCGGTTCAATGTCTGCGCCTACATCAATGTCAATATCGTAAGCGACATCAGTCATGTCCGTGTCGTCCATGATGGCGGCTATATTTCAAAGAGGTCCGGCAATTCGGTGAGTTGGTGTTGTTGGAAGTTCGAGAGCTGTACAAGCAGCGCGCCGCGGTCGGTAAGCTCCAAAGCGCGGGCGGGCACTAACGTCATCACGTGCGTGATTGAAACGCCCCAGCACAATACGATTGCCCGATTTTGTGTCTCACCACCAACAATAGCATGAACATCAGAGAAACGGTGAAACGTGCAAGCAAGTCAAGTTTGGGTCAGGGTCGTCATTACACCCTGTAGCGGACCTACCAAGCTTGCGGGGAAGCCCCCTAGAAGCTAGCCACGACGCGTCACAGTTGGAAGCGATGTATATGCTCGAGACAGTCACCACATCCGAAAAGCGCCTACCATCTCACGACTGCTCCTCCAGCGTAAAGGTACCCGTCTTCGTGATGAGGTACTCATTCACTGCGACATCCTTGCCTGATTCTTTGCCATACCCGGATTGTTTGATGCCACCAAATGGCGATTCTGCAGCAGAAGAGTTGCCCTGGCACATGTTAGTATACTTTCCGATGTCTTCGTTGTCAACATACTGTGTTCAGTCCGATCATGCCGGCCTCCAGATTCTCAAACAGTCTCCAGGTACGATCAACGTTCTTTGTGAAGCAGTAGGATGCGAGACCCATACTGGTGTCGTTTGCAGCCTTGACAGCTTCATCTTCAGTCTCGAACTTGATGAATGTACTGATCGGGGCGAAGGCTTCTTCATTGGCAATGTCCATGTCTGGTGTAACACCGGTAATGACAGTAGGTTCGAAGAAGTAGCCACCGTCCTTCTCCACCTTGTTACCACCCGTATGAATTTTTGCGCCTTTTTTCTTCGCATCTTCGACGAGAGCGAGGGCTTTCTCAACACCCCGTGGGGTAGTCACTGGGCCCATCGTCGTCTTCTCATCTGAACCGTGACCGACGACGATCTTTTGTGTCTCTGCGTTCCAGCGTTCGAGGAACTTGTCGAAGATTCCAGACTGAACGTATATCCGGTTCGCCGTAATACACGCCTGACCCGCATGTCGGTACTTCAACGCGAAGATCTGAGTCAAGGCTTGCTCGATATTTGCGTCGTCGAAAATAAGGACAGGGCAATTGCCGCCCAATTCGAGCGTAACTTTTTTCAGATTGTCTGCACACATCCTAGCGACTAGCTTGCCAACGCGCGTCGAGCCTGTAAACGTGACCTTGCTCACAAGCGGATGCCGACAAAGCGCCTCACTGAGCTCTGGTGTCTTGTCGAGATCTGTGGTCAGGACGTTCAACGCCCCCTTTGGGAATCCAGCCTTTTGAGCGAGGTAGGCCAGTGTGAGTACAGTGATTGGTGTCTCCGGGCTGGGTTTCACAATCATCGTGCAGCCCGCAGCCAATGCAGCACCAGCTTTGCGAAGAATCATGGCGATGGGGAAGTTCCATGGCACTAGCGCAACAGCGACACCAAGCGGCTGCTTGATCGTGAAGATGCGTCTGTTTGGTAGCGCGGGTGTGAAGACACTGCCTTGAATACGCTCGGCTTCCCCAGCGAACCACCATGTGAAGCCTGTCGAGTAATCGATTTCTCCATACGCTTCAGCTCTAGGCTTGCCGGTCTCGTACACAAGAATAGTCGCTATGTCTTCCCTGTTCTCCTTGATGAGGGCATCCCATCGGTAGAGCATCTGCGCTCGTTGTCGCGGGCTGATCTTCTTGTACTCCTGGAAACATGCATGCGAGCTGTTAACAGCATCATCGACATCAGATGCATCGTTTGTAGGACACTCTATCCACGGCTTTCCTGTTCCAGGGTCTGTTCGCCTGTCAGATCTCGGTGTTCAGATAAGTAGATATGCTGTAATGACCGACCGACCACTTCGAACGTCTTTCCCGATTTCGCTCGCACCCAATCGCCATTCACAAAAGATAGGCTATGGAGCAAGTCTGGATTGTTCAGCTGGGATGTATCAGTACGAATCAATCGCAAGGACGAGTTCGTATTGACGCACCTTGAACGGTAGCTCGTGTTTCCTGTCTGACGCCATTTCGTTCTAAGTTTCTACGTATCGTTGACCAAAGCTGGTGAATGTGGAGTGAAGTTGCCTGGACGAAACGATCTTGGAAGGCGCATGGATTCCGCAGCCACCATTATCAACATCTGCAGACAACAGAGCTTCCCCACTTTCCAGCGTATAGCCTACATGGGCAATGCGCGTATCTGCAGCGATATCCGGATATTTCAGGAAAGGCGATCCGGAGAGACGCCGCAGACGTTCAAAGTAGCGAAACGTCGGCGGAGACGGTCTCCAATTGGCTCAAACCTCGGTGGTCCTCCAACACGACGTCAACTCCATGCGGGGCACCACGCTTACCCCTCACTGCTGCCCTGCTCGACTCCGAAGGACGACTAGTCAACTGACGGTGGTTGGAGATGCGATACCGGTGGCAGACATCAGGGTCCATGAGATGGCAGGCAGGAGCGCTTTGTTCCTTTGTAATCAAAACATCAACATCGTCGCCAGCTATTGAGACTCAACATCGACCCTAGCAATTCAAATATATATTCGAGAAGACACGGTTGATTTACCTACATTCACACCGTGAGGCGCAACATATCAAACCTCTCATCATGGGCAGACTAGATGGCAAAGTCGCCATTGTAACCGGTAAAGCGCATCCTGATTGTCTCTTGCATATCTCACTAACAACCTCATCAGGCGGCGGCTCAGGCTTCGGCGCCGGAATTTCAAAAGGCATGGCCTCCGAAGGCGCCAAAGTCCTTGTCTGCGACATCAACCAGTCAGGCGGCGAAGCAACCGCAGCCACAAACCCTTCCTCTCTCGCCTTCCACAAGATGGACGTGACCAAAACCTCCGACTGGAAAGCTACTGTCTCGGCTTGCATCGAGAAGTTTGGGCGCTGCGATATACTCGTCAATAACGCTGGTTGGTCATATACCAATAAACCTACGACGACGGTCACGGAGGACGAGTTCGATAAGGTCTTCGACGTCAATGTCAAAGGTGTTTATCTTGGCTGCAATGCGTGGGTCGATCAAGCTATCGAGCGCAAAGAAGGAGGCGTGATCATCAACATTGCCAGTGTTGGAGCCACGCGGCCACGGCCAGGCCTCGTATGGTGAGTAATTACCCATGTACGAACTGCGTGTGAGACAAACACTGACTTCGTACACCCATGTTTAGGTACAACGCGAGTAAAGGCGCGATTTGGAATGTAAGTCATCTCCCAACTCTAACTCAATTCCGCAGCGATCCAATGACTAATGCATACTTCAGGCGACAAAAGGCCTCGCAGCGGAGTACGGGCCCCATCAGATCCGTGTCGTGTCTATTTGCCCCCTTGTCACAGGAACGGGTCTCTTCTCAGCCTTTACAGGAATGGAAGATACACCGGAGAACAGGACAAAGTTCACGTCCAATGTACCTATGGGTAGGATCGGTGAAGTGGACGACGTTGTGAATGCGTGTATCTTCATGGCAAGCAAAGAGGCTGGCTTCATTACAGGAGTTAATCTGGAAGTGGATGGTGGACGCTGTATCTAGACTAGCTCTTCTTGGAGGGAAGAGAACTCGAAATGAGCTTCTATATGGATCATCCCTAGGAACAGCTCCAAAACGCTGTCGTATCTCATGAAGCTGGGCCTAGCCGTCCATATACACATCCTCATCCTCACCGTCCTCCGCCTCATTTTCTTCTTCTTCATCGTCATCATCGTCGTCGTCATCGCTATCCCCCTCATCATCATCATCCTCCTCCATTTCATCTCCGTAATCCTTCTCAACTCCGTCCTCGTCCTCGTCATTCTCGTCCTCCTCATAGTCCCACGCCTCATCCGTCTCAAGCAACTCCTCAATCTCTCTCCTCCTCCTAGCCTCATCACTATTCTCATCCACTCCATCAACCAGCGCGTTCTGCACAAAAGCACCCTTTCTGTCCTCTTTATCCAGAGCGATCTCTCTGTCAATCTCCAGCGCCCAACCTTCCCAGACGGCACCCCTCTGAGTCGCCGTCATCCTTCCCCTGCTAGCCCTCCACCTCTTTGTCAATTCTCGCTCCCTCGCCACCGGAGATTCCATGACCATCATCTCATAAGCTTGCTTCACCTTCTCATAAGCAGCGCGATGCGGTACTGAAGGTCTTCCATTCGGTGCTGCATAGCTCTCCAGTACCTGATAGTGACCTTTTCGCACTCTATCTTGCGCGTTGGCCCATACGCCCAAAGGTAGAAAGACTGCGCGATTGAGGGTGATCTTCCCGCTCTTAGGGTGTGTGTATCCAAGGAGGAAGGCGTCGGTCTCGGCTACTCCGTTGTCGCCTAGCTTCAGTCCGCCGGGACCGATGGTGTTTGCGGGTACGACGATCTTAGGCAGATAGATTTGGACGGGAATACCGCGGTGGGATGTAGTAAAGGGAGAGGTGGCTAGCAGACTGGGTGCAAACGATGAGAGAGGGGATGGTGGTCGAAGGTGAAGTGGAGATGGAGCAGTGCGCTGCATAGTCGCCTGAGGTGGAGCCAGTAGAGAATTTGGAGGGGGCAGTTGGCGCTGCTGAACAGATCCACCCTGACCAACTGGTCTGCTAAGACTTGGTAGGTCTGGTGCCCGTGGTAGGGGCGGTCCAGCATCTGGAAGTCGCTGACCATAGCTAGCGGCATGACCCTGTGTCTCTTGAGCAGCTACTAGGCGCTGTGCGAAAGCCGGAGGTGGTGCATGATCAGAGCGTCCTAGTGGTGTTGGCCAAGATGAAGCGTGAGCTTGCTGAGACAGATTTGGTTGGTGAGTATCAGACTGGAACCAGGCAGGGGGAAGACCCGCCGGCGGAAGGGTCAAAGGATGAGCCCCATATCCAGACGAGGAATGATGGTGGTGTTCAAATCCAGGTGGTAGCGGCGGTCGAGCATAAGGACCGAAGCTTCCTTGGAAGCTCCCAGGCAGTTGGTGTTGAGAAAGTAACTGCGGTCCAGATACAGTA